TGAAATAGGGCATGAATTCTATTACAATGGTCCTGAATAACTCATTTCACATACCTGTATTTGGCAACATTGTCCAGAATTTTCATACGCACATGCATTTTTCATACACAGGAAACTGGTTTGGCATAGACAGCAAGGTGGAGAGCCGGGAGTGAGCCCTCAGACAGGTCAGCAGACAGATGCACTTACACAAGGGCTTGTTTGCATTCTGAAAACATGCCTCCTCAGATTGGAGCTGGTTACAAAGGACACGTGGGAAACAAAAATATTCCATTTCCAAATGATGATCAAAATCACCCTTGAAATCATAATAGAAACATCACATTTGTTTTGATTTTGAGGGTTTAAAAAATTATCAACATGTAGAGGGAATTATCTAACAAACATTTATGTACCCAGCACTTAGAAATAAAAATTGTCCACATTTTGTCATATTTCTTTCAAGATTTTTTTTCAAAAAATAAAATTTTCTAATGTTTTGTAATGTTGAAATTTCTTTTGTCTTCCATGCCTGATTCACCTCCTCTCCTCCTGATTCCAGTGAACGTGATTAAAGGTCTGGATTCCAATTATTTATACATGCACATGAACACATGTTTTCACAAGCAATTTATGCTATCTTTATATGTTCATTATAAAATATACATAATGGTATCATACTACTTATTCTGCAGCTTCCTTTTTTAAAAAAAAAACCTATGTTTTTGAGCTGTATGTTAAAATATAAAAATATAATCAATTTCTTTTATTAGCTATGTAGCATTTTGCCATATGAATAAAATAATTTCTTATGCCTTCTCCTATACCTGTTGATGGACATTAAATTGCTACAAACAATACCACAATAAACGTGCTTATACAAGTTTCTAGTTCTCATACACACGTTCAAATTTTTCTAAGGTGTTTGTTTACCTAGAACTTTAATTTCTGGGTGTCATACTAAGTGCATGTTTAATTTTAACGCATATTGACAAATTACTCTCTGCAACGATGGCGTTAATTTACCTTCTCACTAGCAATGCATTTGATTGCTTGCTTCTCTGTACCTTTTTCAATACTGGATATTGTCAGACTTTTAAATTTTTGGTGACCTAATAGATAAGCAAAAGTATCTTCTCATTTCAGTTTGTATTTCCCGGATTTACTGGTGTGATCTAGCATCTTTTTGTATTTACTTGTTGTCCAGGTTTTCTTTTTGTGAATTACCTGGCCATGTGCTTTGCCAATTTTTATTTCCTATTGGGTTATTTGTGGGTATTTTTTTCTTACTAATTTATAAGAAAAATGTATTTTGAATATGATCCATTTTACTGCTATTTGACTGTTGTAAATGTTTTTACTTAATTACTGTCAAGTTTATAGTTTCATACTTTTTTTCTTTAGAAAGGGTATACAAGGTCAGTTCCAAATGTGTAAAAGGCTTTATTCTTTTTTAATCCAATGCAAGACGCACACATAGTCTCTGCAATTGGATGCACAGCTGTAAATAGCTTTTGTAGGTCTAAAACTCTTCTATAAAGGTCTGTGTTGAGAAATGTTAAGTTTTTGAATATTGATGAATGCTGAGTGTATGATAGAATATATTGTTTGCTAGGAAGAACGATGGCAAGGAAAACCTAGCTGGCACCCCCCGAGGCCCCCAAGTAGAAAACTACCTGGGGCATTCCAAAATGGCAGGACAATGTATAAATATCATACACCGGTTAAAACAATTCTTTGACTTTATCTGACCCTGCCCCCGTGGCTCCCTCGTGAAGAATACCTTTTAGCTTGTTTGTAATCAGTGGTAAGCGGGCAACAGCTGCCTACTTGGTAGATTTCTGTATTATGAGAAAATACAGAACACCTGTTTGTTAATAATAATCACCTGTTCAGAGAAAATAAATAGGTGGATCAGCATCTGCTTCGGGCCTTCAGCCTGAAATGCTGTCAGTCCGGGAGGCTCTCAGTTTGTGAAGGCTGCTGGCCCCCCTAAACAGGGCCCACTTTGCTATTCTATGTGGAAGTCTGTCTCTCAATTCCTTCAGCTCTGCCTGGGTGGGGTCTCTACAGCCAAACTGGTTCTCTGTAGGTTTTCAAAGTTCTTCTCTAAAGCTGGGAAGTAGCAGTCTTTTGACTTTTTAGGGTTAGAGCGAGGCTAGTACAATTCCATAGGCTGGTGGGCAAAACAAGAGGAAAAGGACTTTACTTTTAAAAACTAGTGGCTGAGCAGAATCTACTCTTCTCACAACCTCGAAGTAGTTTGGAAATACTCTTACTAAATTTTTACGAAAGTACTTTTTCTAAATTTTTCACGAAAGCACTCTTTCTAAATTTTTCTCAAACACTCTTTCTAAATTTTTCTCGAAAGCACCCTTTCTAAATTTTTCTCGAAAGCACCCTTTCTAAATTTTTCTCGAAAGCACCCTTTCTAAATTTTTCTCGAAAGTACTTTCTAAACTTTTCACAAAAGTACTCTTTCTAAATTTTTCTCGAAGGTACTCCGAAAATTTTTCTCGAAAGCACCCTTTCTAAATCTTGAAAGTACTCTAAATTCTTCTCGAAACTACTTTTTAAATTTTTCTCTCGGCAATTATCGTTTAGGCATCTCAGATTTAAGAGTTTTACCTTCGACTACGTCGAGTCTTCTACTTCTCCCTTCACTAAACGCAGATTTTAATTATGTAACCATGTTTAGAGCCGTCTAGGGAATTTTTACCCTTATGCCTTCATCCTGATTGGATAATGGCATGCAATAACTGGCTGGGAGCTATGAAAACACACAAATATGGGGTAAAAACCTTGGGTTTCCACATAAATAGAAACATACTGGACTCTAAACTCTGAGGTAAAGGCCTCATACCCTATCCACGATGATTATATCTTAAGCATTTGGCTCAGTTGATAAATCCCAGTTAGTGGGAATCTGCTGAACATTCTCAATCCACAGCTATTATGGGATCCCACGGCTGTGTTAGACTATACTCTATGTGGTTCATGCAATCGAAGTGAGCAAGAGAGACATAAGCCCCTGCCCTTACGAACCTCACATTCTAGTGGCAGGAAATACTATAATGCCGGCGAGATGTGAGAATGAAGAAAAATGCGGTGCACACCCCTCTCTCCCTGGGATATGGGGGGGGATCTGTTGGGGGGGAAAAGTGGGGGTTCTAGTATAGAAAATACGTCCTGAGACGCTTGATGAAGAGTCATGATTTGATAGATCGAAATAGAGAAAACCAGTGTGAGGGCTCCAAAAATCACTTCCATTTTTGGAGAAATTTCAACTCTTCGTATTTTGATTTGGGGCCAAAAAAAAAAGTCTTGAGGGGGAGGAAAAAAGACTAAAGCTCTTATTTTAGATAAGAAGCAGTTAATGAAGTTGTAAAATATGCTCCCTTTTGCGGGGAGGAATACAGTAGTTTGCACGTTGGGAGAACAGCTGCCTCCAATTCAGCTTGGTGGTGGGCTTCAGCTGAACTGGTCAATGCTTAAGTGTCTTCTGTGTTTCTGATTACCTATCTCTCCAGGGACCCAGCTGAGCAAGATAGGTCTTTAAGCTGGTTCAATGCTCCCATCCTGCAGGCAACTACAAACTGTTGCTTACTGGATGATATAACAAAAAATGATAGAGAATTGTAAAGTGTAGCCTCGAGTTCATGTGTAGAAACTGCCATCTGCACAATCAAAACATTCAGACTAAGATTTTAAAGATTAATACAGACTTCTTTTTTTACTTAAAAAAATATATTTCACTTTCCTAACAGCATCTAGTAGATGTTTCTCCCCCCTAACGCTGGACTAAAAAAATACGCTGTTTTCTGGTCTGGCTTTGTTTTTCTAGGCAAGTACTTAAATTACGGGTGTTTCATAAGTATCTTTTGATGGATTTCCTTGTTTCGTTTATTTTGCTTTAAGCAATACAGACACCTTCAAATTTCTTTATAACCAATCTTTTTCAAAGTCTTCATTTGAGGTGGTTGATGGAGCTTGTCTGCAGATCTTGTAGACGTGCTGATTTTGGCACGGACTTCAGCTTCGACACACAAAACTTAATGTCTTTGAGGAACCAAGTTTTCAAGCTAAGAACAAATGAAAGTGTTTGCTCATCTTTCGGAAAAATATTTATATACTTGGGATCCGGAATGTGACAACGGTTTTACACGCTTGTAGGTTTTTTCCTAAATATCTGGGGAATTACTTCATCTAACGTTTTATTTTCCTGACTCGTCTTTAATACGCTACAGAAAACCCCTCTCGCCCAGTGACTGTCTTCTCTAGGATCATTGAGGAATAGAGGCCTTGACTTTTGACGGTCCTTCTCGTTTTTTTTCCTCCTCCCGTTACTCTTCTCTGTACTCACAGCCGAGGCAGCCGGCGTCTGGGCTGAAAGAACCCTTGGCGGGCGAGGAGAGGAGGGTGTCACGTTGGCGACAGGCTCCTGCTGGCGGCCAGCGAGCCCGCCGGGTTAACGGGGGCGCCGGGGTCGGCGTCCTCGAAGTTGGGGGCCTCGGGCGGGGCCGCACGGGAGCCGCGACTGTCGCTCGACCAGAGCATCCCACAGTCCCGTTCCCTCCAGAGTGGAAGAATCGCCGAATCTGGCGCGATCCCACGGAGATAGCGCTCTTCGCGGTGCAGTCTCCGCTACTGAGCGCGGGACCAATGCAGGCGAAGTTGGGCGGGCGACAGGGAAAGCCCAGACCTGGGGCAGAGAAGGAATGAGGGGCCGGGAGCCGGGGGGATTTCCTCCCGCTCTTCCCTCTCCAACGGGAGCGGAAAATGTGATTTGCTGTGCATTCCAGGCGCGGTTCCCTGGGGTGACCTCTCCCAGCCGGCCCGGGCGGAGGGAGCAGACAAAGAGGCGAGGCGGGCGGAGAGGGGACCCCGTGGGGAAGCAGGAGGGGTGCGGGGGGCGGGGGCAGTATCGGGAAAGGGGGCGGATAGCGGGTCTGGCGGTGGCGGCGGCGCCTGGCCAATGGAGAGGCGCGGCCCCGGGCGCCGCGTTAGGCTGCCGGCATTTAAACGGGAGACTGCGCAATGCCTGGCACTCGATGCGCCCTCCGCGGACCGGGCGATCCAGTGCACCGCCGCAGCGTTACTCTGTCCGGCCGAGCCCCGGCGGCTCTGGCCGCGGCAGCACTCAGCGCCACGCGTCGAAAGCGCAGGCCCCGAGGACCTGCTGAACTGACAGGTGAGCGCGGACGCACCTGACAAGGAGTGAGTGTGGTGGAAGGAAGAGGGCGGCCAACGAACCGCAGAGACCCACTCGGTTCCATGCGCGGCAGCCCTCTGCGCTCAGGCCCGGGTGCGCTGTTCGCGGTGTGGAATCGTGCAGAACCATCGTGGGGTCCTTCTGAGATCTCGGACACCATGATGTCGCTGCTCTGGGTCTGCTGGGAAGCGTAGGAAAAGGTGGTCAAGAGCGGGCAGGATGACCCCAGCTCTTGGAACCCTCCGAACACGCTCCTGATGCTCGTGGCAGCAGGGCCTGGCACACGCGCCCGCATAGCGAGGGCGCGCAGTCCCGGCCGCCGACAGTGTGGCAAGTTGCCTTGAGAGGGTCCCATGGGCTTGAGGCGCTGCGCTGGGTCTGGGGGGCGTCTTGAGATGCCCATTGGAGACCGCAGGCTGGAGCATCTGCCCATCCCCGAGGCGAGATGGAGACTGGCAGGAGCAGAGCCGCTGTGTTCAACCACAGCGGGAAAATGGAACCTTGGGTAACCCGACAGCTGGGGTGCGGGGCGCGGCCCTGGCCGTAGGGTCCAGCGAACCAGCAGTGCTCACACGGCATACATCAACCGCTCGCCGACCGGCCACGCACTCGCGGTGCTCGCTTCTCTACTCGAGCCTCTTCTCGGCCCCACGCACGCCTGGGCTGAATGGTAGACGTTTTGGCGCCGGGCAGCGGCCACCGGCTGGTTCCCACTTCCGCGCGCATCCCTTAAACTGTGTCCTAGAGGCCCCGGCCTTGCTGCGCTTCGCTGCGCCTCACTAGCTCCTGAGGATGAGGGACTGGCCGCGGACGCTGGTTGGCAGCTCCAAAGAGCTGAGCGTCTGTGGTTCTCGCTTGCCTCCTGGCTCAATCCGCTGGCCCCTCCACAGCATGCGGTGTAAGGGCACGGTAGGGGAGTGGGAGGTACATTGGGGCTGTCACCCCCTTGCTGGCTGGAGTTATTTGTGGACTACAGGCTCCGGCAGAACAGATGTGCCACCGCTCACTTGACATTGCCTTCAGGTCGCAGCTCTTCCTTGGGAGCGCCCCAGCTTGTCATTTATTTGCCTGAGCCAGACACTGGAGACGGTCCCGGCCCAGGCAGGGAGGGATGGGTGGCAGGTGATGAGCCTCCACTGTGAATAAATTCCTGCCTCCCTAGAGCGGTCCCTAATGCGCTCCTGGGTCGAACCCGTCTACTGCCTTCACCTCCTCGACCGACTCGAATCCCGTCTCTTACAGACAGAAATACAGCTTCAGCGTTAGGGGTTAAAAATCTCCTCTTAAATGGTCCGAGGGCAGAGAGGTGACCACCGATAGGTAATTGGATCTCCTGCTGGAAAGAGCAAATCTGGGCGGTGTGCACGTCTGTTTATGTTCCCCTTCGAGATGGTGCCAGGACACGAACTGATTAAAACAATCTATTGTGTTAAGTGGCTCACTAGGGTTTTAAGCTGTCCCAGGGACCCCAGAGTAGTGGCTTCCTTCTGGCTGTACACACAAGTTAAATAAATAGCGCAGAAGAGGTTAAGATAACCCCAACCTAGGGTGAGGAGTCCTCTTTCATCCCTAGGGCTTCCCCCTCCTCTTTTCTCTTTCTGGAAGGAGGGGGAGCATGAAAGTCTTGGGGGATGTACTTTTCAAAGCAAGGAGGGAAAGATCTTAGGAAAACTGTAGATTCTTACTACCCCCTCGAGTCAAGCCTACAACAGTAGGTGATTTGATTACTATCTCTGGATAAATTGCATTGTCAACTTGTTAATATTAACTATTTAAGGGATTTTTATCGGGATAGTGGCAGTGTTGTGTGTGTCTGTGTGTTTAACCCCCAGGTCATTGTAGGAATTAGTCTTTTGTAAACTGTAATTTCACAGGTTTCCTATTTTCTTAAAAGCTCATTTTTAGTGAAATGTTTGGGTAACCCACGCTCTGTAGGAAATCCAGGTTGACTAATGTGCTTTTTAAGTGTAGTTACACAGAAGAATACAAAATCTCTGAATGAGGGCTGCCTACCCTGTCTTTGACACTAAAGCCAATGATGTCTTCAGTCTTAATGGTCAAGTATTAAGTGATAAAATTCAAAGAAATTTCATGCCACAGACACCTCCCCTGAAGAACTGCTTGTTGACAGCAAAGTTGTGGAGCATGTTCCAAAACAGTAAAGGAGAGCCAGGAAACCTAAACATTTTACGTAAAGTAAAGGGGGTTTGGCGGACAGTGGCTAGGGGAGGTGACTGCATCCTCCAACCAAAAAGCAACAATTAGGCAAGTGCTACCAGCCCGTGTCTGACATCTTCAAAAAAAAAATCTTTAGTTTTAACATATGCTCTTAGAAATTCAAAGTACAACGGATTCATTCTTGGGACGAGGGAAATCCTTGTTTACATCTGAACATGAAGATAGAAAATAGAGAATTATTTCATTTGTAATCTTCAATTTGTATTAGAAAACATATCCGTGGTTCCATTGTTAAGGACAGCACTAGGTGTCAACAGGACAGTGGTTAAGGACCTGTGTTTGGGGCCAGATGGAATTAGGTTTAAACTGCTGGCTCTCCAGCTTATGAGCTGTGTGACCTTGGACAGATTCCTAACTTCTGAGTATAGGTTCCATGACTGGTAAAAAGATAATGTTTTCTACCTCATTTTATTATGAAAAATATATGATAAAATTGGGTCAAAATTCAGCATAATGCCTGGCACAGTAAGGGCTTCAAAATGAAATAACTCTTATTAGTAATGTTAGGAAAAGTAGTCATGTTACACAGAAGCAGGATAATATCGCAGGGCAGTTCCAAAATGAAATCCTGAATATCCTGCATTATGCAGTGACTGACAAATCCTTCACTACAGAACAGAACCTATAACATGGCCATGTCTCAGTAGTGCTGCTCAGTGAACACAGTATTACTTTCTAACTCGGTTGACCTCAAGAATTGTATATAGTCATTAACATTCCTAAGAACTTTGACTCCTGAGATTTCACATCTAGGTGGTCTCCCTGTCCTTTGCAATGTTGGGCCCCAGCCAGATTTAGCTGACTTGGTCTTCAGACACTCTAGTCTTCAGACTATAGTCTCTGTTAAGGGTTTTTACAACACAAAGGGGATGAGACTATCCTCTGTGTGCGAATCGGGAACTCTTAATACCTCCTTGGTGCAACTTGATTTTTTTTTTCCCAGACAATTGTCTTTAAAAATTAAAGATCACATAGAAAAAGTTATACTTTTCCCAAAAATTTAGACCTGAGAAAAAGGAATATTTTTCTAAAACCTGGCCTACAATTAGAGCATTTGCAGTCACTTCCACTGTTTCTTATGCTGGGAGAATAATTTGATGCCATGCCTATTGAATGTCTTTCTAACGCTTGATTCAACAGGAGGTCATTGACCAGAAGTCCAGGCACAGATACTTAATTTTCACTGTAATTCCTACTCAAAACTCCCTTTCACTGATTCTGAGGAGGTTGCTTAGCTAAAATGAGAAATGTAGCAAGAGTGATAGGAGCTGGCTTAAACTTTCCCAGAAACATGGACACTGGAAACAGGCCATACAGATACCGTTTTTGAGTCCTGAGAATTAGAATGTTATGTTCCTAGAGGCTTTGTAAAAACGAATAGATTGCCATGACCTGCACAGGATAGAGGTGGTTAATGTGGCGTACCTGGCTTGTGGCTGTTTACTCTTGATCCCTGAGGGAAACTGAAAGGAAAGCGTGCAGTAGGGGGACTTGCTTTCAGCGTATGTGTCCTTTGGGACAAGTGAAAGGATAGAGGCAAAGAGGGGAAAAAAGAGGTGGAGATGGGGTGAGACTTGCTGGTGGAGAACAGTTGCAAAGAAAACTCGGAAGATCACATTTCTTGAAGCTGAATTGCATTGATGGGAAGTGGAGGCAGAGTTGGAAAAGGAGATGTTGGGTATCTTGATGCACCTTGGGTCTATGAGATGCAGCTTAATGACACGAATAGGCCATTTCACAAGTGGAAATTACCATACAGTCTTTGCAGCTAATGACTGGGTATGGATGTCATAGGAACCTAAGTCTGGATAAGCTATGGATTGAATTTGTACTATGGGACTCCCTGCTACATCTTGTTGTGGAAAAGAATTGTCCTCAAGAAATGTGCATCTTCTGCATTTCCTCTACATCTGATATTTACAAAGTGCACATTATTTGGTGGCAATACAATTGGATTTCAAGTGCACATCATTCCTCTTTGAAGAATCAAGAGCAGTTTGTGGGTGGCGAGAGCTTGGATGATGGACCAGGATGTGGCAGAGCCTTGGTTCCGCTATGAATTACAGTTCTTACCCTACTGGCCCTCACTCACGTAGAGCAGCTAGTGTGCCTCAGAGCACTGCTGTTGAGAAGCTGAGGTCTCGATTGACATTAAGTAGGTGTTTACTTGTCTGAATAAACAAAGGTTGACAACTCGAACATCTTCCAAAAAGTACTAAAGATTTTTGAAGAATAGGCTTTTAAAAAACGAATAACAATTTAACTTTCCGTAGCTAATAAATCTTACTTTGAGAAAAAGCCTGTCCCTCTAGACTCTTTGGCTTAGAAGGTAGACATACTCCCATAGGAACAAAGTCTGTCCAAATTAAAACTGAAAACCAGTTGACTAATTTTGAATTTACAACTCTGCTGCTGGCTTCTGCCATAGTATTAATTTCAATGGCTTCAATTAGAAAGTGAAACCCATGGATTCCAGATGAAGACTGATAAAATGTGAGGAACATTTGGAATTCCTAAAAAGACAAGTCTTAGGAAGCTCTCTAGGATGGAAGGAATTTGCCATGCTGAGAGTCAGACATGCAAAGGATTGCAATTGCCTCTTCTGTTCACGGGCACTAGTGAAGGTATTTAAAACGCAAAGAATGGTAACTCTGTAAATTAGTGAGGTTCATAACAATCGTGCATTTACCAAATTTTAACGAGCACCTGCCTTGTGCCAGGCACTGAGGGTAAGGTGATGAATAAGCCCTCATCAACTCTGACTAGCTATTTACTCAACAGATGTGAAAATGCCAAGAAGGAAAAGTTGTCTAAAGAAAGCCTTAAGTTGGTTCAGAGAAATAAAATTGCATTTTTCGGATAGATATTTGTGGAAAGGTATGGCCTTATGAGGTAAACCTGTCATATGCAGTTAACATACATTGCCAGTTAGTCTCAGATTGACCTCTGATGTTGAACTTGGAGAGTCTTGGTCTGGGAGGGGTGACATTGTCTGGAGACCATTTTCTTCAGGAGGGTAGAGGAAGATTGTGGGCATAGGCCTGGGGCCATCTCCTGTATTCCTCCTCTGAAGTGGGCAGCAACTGAATTGTATTTTATTTTAGATTTTTGTCCCTATTGAATAAATAGCAGAAACTCGTGAAACCTCATTCACAATGCATTTTGAGACCAGGAGAATGGCTCAACTTATCCTAGTCACAGGAAAAATTCAGTCCTGTATTATAACTGGACTTTTCTCATAAGTGATTTTTTTTTTTTCCATTCTTAATATACTTCAAGTTTTGGGATACACGGGCAGAATGTGCAGATTTGTTACATCGGTATGCACATGCCATGGTGATCTGCTACAGCCATCTGCCAGTCACCTATTAGGTATTTCTCCTAAAGCTATCCCTCCCCTAGACTCCCACCCCCCAACAGGCCCTGGTGTGTGATGTTCCCCTCCCTGTGTCCATGTGGTGTCATGGATCAACTGCCACTTACAAGTGAGAACATGTGGTGTTTGGTTTTGTTACTTTGCCAAGAATGCTTCATCCATGTTCCTGCAAAGAATATGAACTCATCCTTTTTTATGGCTGCATAGTACTCCATGGTGTACATGTGCCACAGTTTCTTTATCCACTCTCACTGATGGGCACTTGGGTTGGTTCCAAGTCTTTGTTGTGAATAGTGCCACAAACGTGTGCATGTGTCTTTATGTAATTTATCATCCTTTGGGTATATAATGGGATTGCTGGGTCAAATGGTATTTCTGGTTCTAGATCTTTGAGGAATCGCCACACTGTCTTCCACAGTGGTTGAACTAATTTACACACCCACCAGCAGTGTAAATGCATTCCTGTTTGTCCACATCCTCTCCAGCATCTGTTTCCTGACTGTTTAATGATTGCCATTCTAACTGGTGTGAAATGGTACCTCATTGTGGTTTTGATGTGCATTTTTCTAAAGACCAGTGATCTTTTTTTTTTCATGTTTATTGGCCACATAAATGTCTTCTAAGAAGTGTCTGTTCATATCCTTCATTTTTTGATGGGGTAGTGTTTTTCTTCGTGTAAATTTAAGTTTGTAGATATTAGCCCTTTGTGTGATGGATAGATTGCAAAAATTTTCTCCCATTCTCTAGGTTGCCTGTTCACTATGATAGTTTCTTTTGCTGTGTAGAAGCTCATTAGTTTAATTAGATCCCGTTTGTCAACTTTGGCTTCTGTTGCCATTGCTTTTAGTGTTTTAATCATGAAGTCCTTGCCCATGCCTATGTCCTGAATAGTATTGCTTAGGTTTTCTTCTAGGGTTTTTATGGTTTTAGGTCTCACGTTTAAGCCTTGAATCCATCTTGAGTTAATTTTTGCATAAGGTGTAAGGAAGGGGTCCAGTTTCAGTTTTCTGCATATGGCTAGCCAGTTTTCCCAACACCACTTATTAAATAGCGAATTCTTTCCCTATTGCTTGTTTTTGTCAGGTTTGTCAAAGATCAGATGGTTGTAGATGTGTGGTGGTATCTGAGGCCTTTCTTCTGTCTATATATTGTGGTCTATATTGTCTACATTGGTCTACATATCTGTTTTGGCACCAGTACCATGCTGTTTTGGTTACCGAAGCCTTGTATAGTGTGATGCTTCCAGCTTTGTTCTTTTGTTTAGGATTGTCTTGGCTATACAGGCTCTTTTTTGGTTACATAGGAAATTCAGTTTTTTTTTCATAGACATCTACAGGATGCTCCACCCCAAATCAACAGAATATACATTCTTCTCAGCACATCACACCTATTCTAACGTTGATCATATAATTGGAAGTAAAACACTCCTCAGAAAATGCAAAAGAACAGAAATCATAAGTCTCTCAGACCACAATGCAATCAAATTAGAAATCAAAATTAAACTCAAAACTGCACAACTACACGGAAGCTGAACAACCTGCTTTTGAGTAACTACTGGGTAAATAACAAAATTAAGGTAGGAATAAGTTATAAGAAACCAATGTGAACAAAGACACAGCGTACCAGAATCTCGGACACAGCCAAAGCAGTGTTGAGAGGGAAATTTATAACACTAAATGCCCACAGGAGACAGCTGGAGCTGAATGTCACATTATCAGCTCCAAACTTGAACTGGTCTAAAAGTACTCGGTTAATGCAGGGAAGATGGTGCCATTTAAAGATATCTTAAATTCAGTATTTTATTATCTTAATTTCACATTATTCTAGGGTTGAATGGTGTTTCCTTACTGTATGCTGTCCATTAGAAAAACTAGATTTTACGCTGCCTTTGTGCAAGGTAATTGTTCTGGCTAATACCAACTTGTCCAGTTTTGGAGGAAGAAATAATGTTACTGTTCAGTTGCACTAAGTGGTTAAGTGTAATACTGGTGTTCAAAAGAGCAGGGAAATGGGGGCTACACAGCTGCGTTCTTAGGTTCAGAAACCATAGGAATTGGACAGGAGAAGCTTCAGGATTCAAGTCTGGTTGTTGTGATGGCCACAGGAGAGGCTGTGAATTTGAAACTGCATTCATTGAAAAAATCCTTCCACATGTTAATTCTGTATGTGCCCCATGGCAGCAAGTACTTACAGGCCTTGCTACTCGAAGCTTAAGACAGACCTGCTGAATCGGAATCTGCATCTTAACGATATCTCCAGATAACTGTACTTTCAGGTCTAAGAAGCACTGTCCGAAGAGACTTTTTAGGCTTGAGGCTTCTCTCTTGTACTCTCCTTTTTAAAAATAAGCTGCTCTGGCTGGGCATGGTGGCTCATGTCTATTATCCCAGCACTTTGGGAGGCCGACGTGGAAGGATGACCTGAGGTCAAGAGTTGAAGACCAGCCTGGCCAATGTGGTGAAACCCCGTCTCTACTAAACATTAGCTGGGCATGATGGCACGTGCCTGTAATCCCAACTACTCAGACTGAGGCAGGAGAATTCGCTAGAACCCAGGGAGGTATAAGTTGCAGTGAGCCGAGATCGCACCATTGCACTCCAGTCTGGGCGTCCCAATGAGACTGTCTCCAAAAAAAAAAAAAAAAAAAATTCTCCACTTCAATCTCCTCACCCTCCTCCTCCTCTTCCTCCTCCTGTCTGCCCTACCTCCCCTGAATACCCACTTGTAGAAGAGTCCCCCTTTCTCTGAATTGCATTCTTCCCTCCATTTGTTTTGTCTATGCTTTCCTATTTTCTGTTCGTTTTCCCTCTGCTTTACCTCCTTGTTATCTTTTTGCCACTGTTCACATGTCACTGCCCCTTCAGACCCATATCTAGCTTCAGACCTATTCATAGTAATTCATTGCCATTAAGGTAGTCAACATGTCCATGGCATTTATTGATGTAAATATTTGCACATAATTGTTCTGTCATGCCCGGTTTTCTACCTTTTAAACTGTTTATACACAACACGAGTGACATATTTCACTATTGAAAAGGTAGAAAAATGTATATCATGGTATAAAGAATGACACGCTGAGTATCTCTGCCCGGTTTCAAGGTGAGAGTAAGGGAGGCTACGTGCGGAGCCTCATGAGTCATGTCAGCTACCCACTCCTGTCTTTGACTCTGTCTGCAGTACCGCCAACATTTGGTTAGTTCTCCAAATGCTCTCACATTGACATTGAGTTGGATCTGAACAATCTACCTGGGGGAGACAAGGTATTGGTACCTTTGCTTAAATTGAGTCACTTACTGAGAGGTAAAGTGACGGCCTTAAGATCAGACAGCAAGTTACTGCACCAGGATTGTGATGTTCCTGTTCTGTTTTCCCTCTGTCAGATGCTTTCTGGTCTCTATGAATCTCTCCTTCCACGTCTGATAAAAATGCAAAGTCTCATGAGCATTCAGAGCTCAGGTCTCCATGAATCTCCTTCCACGTCTGATAAAAATGCAAAGTCTCATGAGCATTCACAGCTCAGGTCTCCATGAATCTCCTTCCATGTCTGATAAAAATGCAAAGTCTCACAAGCATTCCGAGCTCAGGAAACCTCAGGCTGTTTGGGGAGAAAAGTCCTCTGGGCAGAAAGGTTAATTTATCTTGCTGTAAAAAACAGAAAAAAGTTCCCTCCAAAAGGTGCAAAGGTCATAGGGCATAGGAGCTTACTAAATATTATCAAATAAAAGAATGAATATAGTTAAGTAAATGTAATACAAAGTCATGCCGTTGGTGCCAGAAGCCAGGGAGAAGTTCTTGTGAGAATAGAAGAGAAGAGCTAGGTCCTGGCTAAGTTTAAACTTGACTTAGTCACTGAGACTGTGGGGGAATTACTCCATGGATTGATGGCTGGGTCATGGAGATAACAGTACCTAATTCATACAGGTACTATGAGAAGTAAATGGAATAATTTACATACGTGTTTAACAAGTACCGTTTAAAATGCTAGGTGCTATTAACTTTTAAATTAACTTAGCCATGTTTTGTGTCTGCCCCTCTGTGCTTCCTCCCTTTTAGTATGAGCCGCACAGCTTACACGGTGGGAGCCCTGCTTCTCCTCTTGGGGACCCTGCTGCCTGCTGCTGAAGGGAAAAAGAAAGGGTCCCAAGGTGCCATCCCCCCGCCAGACAAGGCTCAGCACAATGACTCGGAGCAGACTCAGTCGCCCCAGCAGCCTGGCTCCAGGAACCGGGGGCGGGGCCAAGGGCGGGGCACAGCCGTGCCCGGGGAGGAGGTGCTGGAGTCCAGCCAAGAGGCCCTGCATGTGACAGAGCGCAAATACCTGAAGCGAGACTGGTGCAAAACCCAGCCGCTTAAGCAGACCATCCACGAGGAAGGGTGCAACAGTCGCACCATCATCAACCGCTTCTGTTACGGCCAGTGCAACTCCTTCTACATCCCCAGGCACATCCGGAAGGAGGAAGGCTCCTTTCAGTCCTGCTCCTTCTGCAAGCCCAAGAAATTCACTACCATGATGGTCACACTCAACTGCCCTGAACTACAGCCACCTACCAAGAAGAAGAGAGTCACACGTGTGAAGCAGTGTCGTTGCATATCCATCGACTTGGATTAAGCCAAATCCAGGTGTGCACCCAGCCTGTCCTAGGTACGCAGCCCCAGGAAGACCTAGACCTAAAACCACCAGATTCTTACTTGGCTTAAACCTAGAGGCCAGAAGAACCCCCAGCTGCCTCCTGGCAGGAGCCTGGTTCTGCGTAGTTTGTGTGCATGAGTGTGGATGGTGCCTGTGGGTGCTTTTAGACACCAGAGGAAACAGTCTCTGCTAGAGAGCACTTCCTATTTTGTAAACGTATTTGCTTTAATGGGGATGGTAGCAGAAGCCCACATTAACCTGCTCATGTCTAAAGGGGCGGGGCAGTGGTCTGGTTCTGCCTTTGTGTTCCTTGTGCCCTCCTGGGGACCAGAATCTCCCTTCAGAATGAATGTTCATGGAAGAGGCTATTCTGAGGGCAAGAGACCTGTTTTAGTGCTGCATTCAACATGGAGAAGTCCTTTTTAACCTGTGCTTGCATCCTCCCTTCATCCTCCCTCCCACAGCCTGTCCCTTAAGTTGTGACTGTCAGTCTAATCTTTTTTGAAAAAGCCTTGCTCTGTTCCCCAGGCTGGAGTGCAGTGGCACAATTTCGGCACACTGCAACCTCTGTCTCCCGGGTTCAAGCAATTCTCCTGCCTCAGCCTCCTGAGTAGCTGGGATTACAGGCGTGTGCCACCACATCCAGCTAATTTTCATATTTTTCGTAGAGATGGGGTTTTGCTGTGTTGGCCAGGCTGGTCTTGAACTCCTGACCTCAGGTGATCCACCTGCCTCAGCCTTCCAAAGTGCTGGGATTCCAGGTGTGAGCCACCAGGGCCGGCCGATGTCAGTCTAATGTCACGTTTGCCAAGGTTTCTAGATTAATTCACTTAACCATGATGTAAATTTTTCGTTTGTGAAGACCCTCCAGACTCTAGGAGAGGCTTATGGGGGCAAGGGCTAGGAAAGGGAGGGTGGAGGGTGAGGCCAAATGAGGCCCAGCAAATGTCAGGGAGATTGCAGAGGCTTGAAAGGCCAGTGCCAGAACACAGTGAGGCCCATGGTTCTGAGAACATCTTTTCCTAGTATTTAACAGAACCCAAGTGAACAGAAGAAATGAGATTGCCAGAAAGTGATCAACTTGAGCCGTCACTGTGATCTGCTCAAACCTAACACCAAACTGAAAACAAATATTGACCCACTCCTATTTTCAGACTGAAGCAAGTTAGCCAAGCCAAACTAACCCCTCTGCTTTGTCCCTCAGGCGGAAAAGAGGTAGTTGAGAACTCTGCATAGGAGTAAGAAACGAAACCCTCAGAGGCTGAAAGTCCTTTGTGATTATAATCGGCTAATTTCCAGTTCAGTATTTCCCATAATGCTTCTGAGAGCCCTCAACCTGATTGACAAAGATTCTGTCTCAGCTGAGCTCTGCTGAGGGTACCTGACAATATTCTGAGAGGGTTTAGGGACTGTTTTAGCAAGAGGTATTTTTGGGGTCTGTTTTAACCATTGTCAGGAGATTGGGACGGGGGAAGAGAAGGAAATAAAGGGAAGTGCCTCTGGCTAGAGAGTAGTTAGGTGTTAACACCTGCTAGAGACACAAGGGATATGACCCGCCTTTCTTGATTTGCTCTCTGAGGATCAGAGGAGGACCCTGCTAGGAGAGCACCGCGTCATGGTGTGTTAGCTGTTCATCTGCTATTGGTTGGATGGACATACGGTAACCATTCAGTGTCTCCTGGTAGGCACTGTCCTGCTTAAACTTGGCCTACTGGCAATGCCTACTTAGGATTTATGTAGGGGCCAAAGTGCAGGGTGGGTGAACCTTGCTGCATTTTGGATTTCTTCAAGCCTGAGGTGTTCCATGCAGACTCTCCGAATACTCTTTGCCTCATCTTCTCAGCCTCACTAGCCAAGTCCTACGTAATACAGAAAACAAGCACTGTAGACTTGGATTCAGTTGCCTATCAGGGCTCCAGCATTCAAAGAACCCTTGCAACTCAAGAAGCCGTTTCCTTGTTTTGATCCAGTGCTCTGCAGTCTAGCAACTATAAACAGCCGTTTCAAGGCAGGAGATATTTTAAATGTCCAAAATATTGGGTCTGATTTTGAAACTTTCAAACTGACTACTGATTCTCGCACTAGGTGAATTTGTCCAAACACATTGTGTGTTGTATACACTGTATGACCCTGTCCCAGATCTTTGTATTATCCACATTCTCCAGCATTAAAGCACAGAATGGATTTGATCAAGCACACACATGCTAAGGCAGAGTTTTGAGAGTGGGAGAGTAAAAAGGGAAAGGAAGCTGAAGATACAAAACCACACCAGAGAGGATAAATGACACTCAGAACCAGCAAACACTGAATTTCTCTTAACTATGCCACAAGCCTGCTTTGTTAACAGATGACTTAAGTTGGCAGCAGTAATCTTTTTAGGAGCTTTTACCACTGTCTTGCATATAAGTCCAGATTTGGCTCAAGTAAAGAGAAAATGCTCAAAACTAACTTCACTGGGATAATCGGCAGCATAACTACCATGAACGCACATCACTAGCCAAAGAGGGAAATGTTTGCTCTTCTTACTGTGCCTGTATTAAGACTAATAGAAATGTGCTGTCTTCCAACATTTATTGCCAATGCCGTATCTGTAACATTTTATTGGAGTCATCGATGATGTAATGATACATACTTTTCATTATTATAGTAGAATATTTTTATGGCAAGATATTTGTGATCTTGATCGTACCTATTAAAATAATGCCAAACACCAAATACGAATTTTATGATGTATACTTTGTGCTTGGCATTAAAAGAAAATGCAATCCTGGAAGTCTGTAAGTTGTTTTTTGTTACTGTAGTTCAAGTGTAAGTGAAAAATCTGGAGAGGATAATTTCCACTGTGTGGAATGTGAATAGTTAAATGAAAAGTTATGGTTATTTAATGTAATTACTCAAATCTTTTGGTCACTGATGGCAAGCATGTTTTATTTTCCTCCTTTATATCACTTTGAGTTGGGCAAAGCAGCAGCTGGCACCTAGTATGTTGTTGGGAGTCTCTTACCTGGTCAGGGGGAGACAAAATCTTTATCCATCTGAACGTGTGTTACTGAGTCAGTGCCTGAACCTTTATTTTTTTAAATTGAATGTTCTTTAAAGGTTAACCTTTCTAAAGCAATATTAAGGAAATACCATTTACTTGACATGTTATTTTCGAAGAGTTATGTGTGTATACAAATAGCGGATACTGATGAATAGTTCACACAAAGTGTAAGGAGAAAATAAAAGTGGATATACAGAACACCTGTTAGTGACCAGTTAATGCTTAAGAGTGAAAGTAGTTCTATTGATTTGTCATTCCTCAAGATATTTAATAACTATTACATATTATGTCTGCTTTAGTCAATTAAAAACAGAATTACATAGACTATGACTGAGGTACCTTGCTGTGTAGGAGAGGATGAAAGGATTTGATAGCCTCATAAAACTAATTTGGCTTCAAGTTTCATGAATCTGTAACTAGAATTTAATTTTCACCCCAATAATGTTCTATATAGCTTTTGCCAAAGAGCAACTAATAAATTAAACCTCTTTTTGTGTGTGTGAGCATACATTTGCGTTTTACCTGGTAGTGTTCCTAGAGCGTGGATGGAGCAGAGATGCATTTATCATGGGAAGGGAGATGGAAAAGAGAACTAGAGCTCCTGCAGTCTTCAGTGGAGTTGATTCCTTTTGCCTAGGCCTTTCAGATCCTGCTTGATTTCCATAGGACACCTCAGGTCGTGGCAAGGGAGAGCTGGTGTGCAATGGGAAGCATCCGCCTCTTCCCTAGAGCACAGCTAGAAAGAAGAGCAATAAAGTGTTATAAGGGAGGCCGGCAGATGGAAGGGCCATCACAGAGAGATTACAATAACTTGAGTGTTCCAGGGGAAAAAAGATTTTTGGGGCTCAGTAGAAGGAAAGGCTTCCTAATGATAGGGGTAACTGGCAATACCATGAGGTACCTTTAAAAGCTCGTGAACTCCTGTCCTTGGAAATACTAAACCATAGGCTAGATATAATTTAATAGTGTTGCGAGGTGTAGAGTTAAGTCACTGCCCTGGGTGTGCAATTGTGAATTTGTGGATTTGAGGCTCCTTTCTACTCAGATACGTAATAGAAGATTTCTATTAGGGATGGGTGTTCTGACGATAATGAAAACCCTGGCAGCTATGTACAGAATGATTACAATAGACCCTGTGCTAAGGATTTTCTGTGAATTGTTTTTCACTTAATCTTGACATTAGCTTATTGAGGGTAGGTACCGTTACCGCTGCTAGAAAGCAGCGAACTTAAATGGTTTTACTGTGATATTGGGACCTTTAAACACTATGCAAAACTGTGAGCAACTTTTATCGGTTTGTTCTTTAAAGAACAGAACACAGCACTCTAAAAATAGATCTAACTAGATGGTTCACATCTAGTGAATAAGGCCACCTTGAGGTTATAGTTGCATCAGGAGCCCAAGATCTGAAGCATTCAGTCAAAGCCTCTTTGCCACCCCCCTTTTTGTTATGGCCTTGGACTTGGAGGTGGATAGTGGAAGCAAGTACCAAGGAGACAGTGTTCTCAAAGCCACACCCAAGAGGAAACATCTGAACATAGGCCTGAATAGGTGAGTGGGACTTGACACGGATGAGCATTTAAAACCTAAGAAAAGTGTGTGATGTCAGCAACCATGCTAAGGATTCCCCAAAAGTGTCTCCTCCGTAACACCAATAGAATCTGGCAACAGTAGACGCAACTTTTTATAGCTCTGGAAATTAACTGAAGACTTGCAGCAATTGGCAGGGCATTCATTCAAGGAAAGACTAAATCTCTACAAACAGTGAGCACTATGATACTGTAATTTTCACTATTCTCATCTCCCCCTCTTCAGCTCCACAATAGCTTTGAAATCAAATGCTGGTAAAAACCAGCAGTCTGGGAGCCACTGGATATGGCAGAACGGAGTTCTTCCAAAGTCCCATTCCTAGACAATTGTCATTTAACCTGTTGGGCAGACCCTGGAATCGCCACTTGCAAGGCTATCTTTATTTGACCTGATTGGAAGCTTCCCAGTATGAAAAATTTTGTCAAAACAATTAGAGGCAATCGATTATCTTCATGGCTGCCTGGGGCATCTGTATGACAGATGGGGAAAGCAATTGGCTAAACAAAAAGCCTAAAAAAACCTGGAAAACGAGATTCTCATCGGGGCTTTGAAATGCTCAAGTGTTACTGGCAATCTGGACTGCCAAATGCATAAATAGGACTCCATACATGCCCAGGACTGTACGCATGCTCAGGAAAGACCTGAGAAAGCCTTAAGCTCTCACTTCAGGCTGATCTTGGGGCTCTGCACAAGGGAGAAGAGTTAGGAATTGCCTGGCCGAGTGAGCATTGAGTGTGCCTTAGCATTCACACAGAGCCCCTTGGCAAAAACTGGTTGAATTATTGGTTCTAAGTGTTTGAGGAGATCCCTGTACAACTATTAGATGACCACTAAGCTAACCAAGCTAAGACTTCAGTATCCACACACACAAAAATATAGACTTTATAGAATTAGTTCAGAAAAGTTGTTTAAACAACAAACGCCGGGGAAATGACAGTATGATGAAACCATGCAAGGCTCTGTCTGCATGTGGGAATTCTCATCCAAGTCAAACTCTCTAACCGTCACAAAAACCCCAAGCCAGACTCCCTTCCAGTTCTCTGAAGTCACTTTCAGACCACGTTAGCCTCATGTGAGTAATAAACGTTTCATACTCCCTTGGGGGGTATATGACATCAATCTCAGTATCTGAACCAAATTTTGGTGACGTTTCATCTTGTTTACAAAACATACACCAGGCTGGGCCCAGTGATTCATGCCCATAATCTCCCAACACTTTGGGAAGTTGAGGCAGGAGGATCACGTGAGCTCCAGAGTTTGAGACTAGCCTGGACAGCATAGTGAGACCTTGTCTTTACTAAAATTTTAAAAGAACTAGCCAGATGGGGTGACATGCACCTATCATCCCAGCTACTTGGGAGGCTGAGGCAGGATCAATTCAGTCCAGAAAGTTGTACCATTGCACCCTAGCCTACATGACCGAGTGAGTCTGTCTCAAAACCAAAACAAAACAAAAATACTGAAAGCTTTCCTTGTACAGCAACTAACAGGATATCTGCTGTCACTATTTTTAATACTCTGGAGGTTCTAGCTGGGGCAATTAGGCAAAAAAAAAAAAAAGGAAAAAGTTACCCAGATGAGAAGAGAAAAGCAATGATTTCAATTTTCAGATGACATAATCTTGTATGTAAAAATCCTGAGGCATTTACAAAAGAACTGCTACCTTACAAATTTTTGTAAGGCGAACACCCTTGTAATTACCATTAGGGGAATAAGTGTTTGCATGCATCACAGAAACTCTCCTATACCCCACCTCAATTTCAACCTTTTCCTGTACCATTGTAGTTAACGCTTCTCCTAAAATTTAATCACCTCCTTGTATATATTTATAGTTTTATCACCGAAGTGTGTATCCCTAAACTCAACACCTTAGTCTGGTTGTAAACAGTTTAAATGAGAAAAGATAAGGGCCTGAATTAAGGCAAACCTAAACCTTTTTGTATAATCTCGATGGTGGTTACCACCTAGGGCATTACAAATGTTTGCTTCTTGCTCTGGCACCAACAAATTTACTGAGCAGAAATTTATAATTGGATGATCAGGCAGGTGACATCAGCAAGATGTTGTATTAGAAAACGATGGACTCTTCAATCCACAAACTCACCTATTGTGCAAAAACTCATGGCTAAACTCCTTTGTGAGGAATCTAGAAATGAAAAGGATCCTGCACTCCAAGGAAATGGAAAAGCCAGACTCAGCGAAGCTGGTAGAGAGATTTGAGACACCACCCTGTCTGAATCTCTAACCACAGCACGGTGCCACATAGTCAGCAAGAGACTCCCTAACACTCAGTTTCTCCCAGGTGAGAAGAGTTGATTCACATATCTAGTACCTCCAACTTTTATGAGGGGATTCCCCAGAGGACTGGCTTCTATGGTGTCAGTCTTGGAGCTCTGACAGAATTGTTACAATCTAGCCACCTGGGGAAGGACAGAGACAGAGGTGTAGACCAGTAGATGACCTGGCACCCTGGCCTCTACTGCCTCACCTCCTTCCTGGCTCAGCACAGACAACAAAAATCATGGCTGCTTCTCCCTGGAGAAGAAATGATTTGTGAAAAGCCCCCAAATCTCTGGGCAGACTTCTTGGTGGGAGTCTTCTCCTCTGAGGCCCACCAGTGAAGACTGGGACAGGTGGCTGCCTTGTCTAATGTGCAGACACCAACACGTAGTTAAGGAAAATGAAGAATCACACACAAATATTCCAAACCAAAGAACAAGATAAATCTCTGGAAATGGAGCGAATAAAGTTATGTGATTTATCTGACAGAGTTCAAAATAGCTCTTGTAAAGTTTTTTTTACCAGAGTCAAGAGAACAACGGATGAAAAAAAAATTTTCAGAGTATATTTAAAAGTACCAAAAAGAAATGGAGTCAAAGAACACAATAACTGAACTGAAAAAATTTACTACAGGACATCAACAGACTAGGTTAATCAGAAGAATCAATGAACTTGAAGACAGATCATTGGAAATAATTCAGTTAGAGGAAAAATGAAAATGAAAACAGCCCAAAGGACTTATAGGACCCCATTATTGTATAGGCTGAACAATATACTCATTATTGGCATCATGGAAGAAAAGGGAGAAAAGAACTGAGAAGTTAAAGAAATAATGGCTGAAAACTTCTCAAATGTGGTGAAGAAACTGAACATTCTGATCCAAGAAGCCCAAAGTCATGAAAAAGTGATCCCAAAGCCTACAAGATTATTATAATTTGTCATCCT